CTCCACTAAGCTCGAACTCCCACCAACCCACAAAGCTCCTCAAACCATCTCACTGAAACCACCATTGTTCACAGATTGCTGCAATCTGTTAAGGCATTCTCCAGACCCATATCCTTCCACTTTCCGAAAATTGAGCGAGTCTTGATTCGTCTGAGAACAATACGGTCTTCCAAAAGTCCAGAGGCTTGGTCATCATATCACTTGCCCACTTCTTTCGTCTGACTATGTTGGCAGGTCTTAATAAGGGCTTCCGTCTAGCTGCTCTGCAACGATAACCCAATCTGTGGAGAATCCGTTGAACAGATTTCTAATCTGGAATCCATTTCGATGCTCCTCTTGACAGCCCTTTTTGTCCTCTCCGATAGACCAGGACGACCCGGACGCTGCTCAGTTGTTTCCTTGCCGTGTTTCCTGAATGCACGATGATTCTGTTGACTGTCGAAAGCAGGATTCCCACATTCTGCGAAATTTGCCGCTGACTTATTCCACCATCTGTTTGACCAACTATCCTTCCTCTAACAAAATCTGACAATTGGAGAGAACCTTGAGTTCTAGGCATGTTGTAGCACAAAATAATTAGTGTGCGGACCATTTTCATTTATACAGTGCTCTGTGAACACAAATTAGTTGGCATAAATCAGTTATATGACGAAGAATTAGGTGTCTATTTACTTGTGACCACTCAGTGTAGATAGAAAAATGGATTTTGTGTAGTGTCAGATTTTTGGATTAAAAATTGTGCTTATAATTGTAGAGAATTAGATTACCAATATCATTGTTTGAAAAATTATCACGTTTAATGGCAGATTCTTCTTAGAAGAATGGTCGAAGTGTATTAATATCACTGTTGGAAACATGCTTATGATTCATGGAAGATTTTTTTATTTAGGTTTAGTTATGTCAACAGTGCTTTGGAGATCTTATCCAAATTATTTATCAGTTTCTATTAACCTGCCTAGTTTTTTTTGTTAGAAAGACTACAAAATATTTCACTTAATTTTGTGATTGTTTGTTTGTAATTGAGCACAAAACTACACAATGAGCCATCTATGCTCTGCCCACCACGAGTATCGAAACCCGGATTCTAGTGTTGTAACTCCGCAGACATAACGCTGTGCCACTGAAGGCTAGTTTTGTGAATTAGTCATTAAAAGTTTAATTATGGTAGAAAGATGCACAGCTGAGTTTAAAAATTTCAAAATATTCCATGGAATTCGTTGCACCTTTAATTCGGACCACGGACAGAGAGAGTACATGAGTAATTGTTTCATACTAGTGGTTCTACTTCGGTTTAAATTTATAGCTTATATTTTTTTGCAGACCGTTTGATTAATCTTTTGCAATAATTTCTTACAAGATGCTACTTAGTTGTTCAATCCTTAATTGTTCTTTATTTAATGAATCCTGAAGACATATCAAAGCTTTTATATTTTCAATTTCGTTAACTATAAAATATTTCCTTTTGTTGTTTTTTGTGAGGTCAGACATTTTCTAATTTATAATGAAAATAAGATATGTATTGTGAAGGTCAATAATGTCAATGAAGTGTCAATAATGATGAATAAACATTCGCATTAGCATTTGACCTTAGATTATTACTGAAAACATGTCCAAGGATAATAAAATTAGAGGCATTCTCAGCATATCGGAAAGCAAGTTAAATGTTTATAAAACCAATTTGTGTTGAAAGTCGTTGAGTTTACGAAAAAAAATAGTGTAGTGTTTGTTTGTTTTGAATTTCACGCTAGCCGTCCCTAATTTAGCAGTGTAAGGCTAGAAGGAAGGCAGCTAGTCATCACCACCTACTGCCAACTCTTGGGCTACTCTTTTACCAACGAATAGTGGGATTGACCGTCACATTATAACGCCCCCACGGCTGAAAGGGCGAGCATGTTTGGTGGGACGGGGATGCGAGCTCGCGACCCGCAGATTGCGAGTCGAGCGTCCTAACCACCTGGCCATGCCGAGCCCCGACAATATGATCTTGTTTAGAAATTATAAAAACATAAACCAATTAATGAATATCATTGTAAAAGGTAGGTTTGTGTAAGAACTCTTTTTCCAAAACGCTAGTGGTTTGAGCTTGAAATAGGAATGTTTTGTGTTCTGCAAAAAAATAAGAATAGAACAATGAGCTTGCAGGATTTAATACCAATAAAAACAGCTCTAACAATTATACTGTTAAAATATTTTTTTTCATTCAGGGTAATTCTGTATAGAAAATCTAACAGAGAATGTAGAAATATGGGTATTTTAAATTACTACATTAATTATGATCCAATGTTGTTCCACGGAAGACATTACTATGAGTTGAGCTATAATTAATCTGTGGTTGTACAAAGGTTAAACCTAATGCCCATAATATAGCCAACTTATTTGTAATAAGAACAGTCCTAAGATAACAAGACGATTTTTAAAGAATAATTCATTATTTTTCCTTTTCATTTTGTCATCTAACGTATAAATAAATCTGATTTGCACAAAGGCAGTCAATGAATCGGGTAAACATTTTCAGGAAAAGAATCTGATTTGCACAAAGGCAGTCAATGAATCGGGTAAACATTTTCAGGAAAAGAATCTGATTTGCACAAAGGCAGTCAATAAATCGGGTAAACATTTTCAGGAAAAGAATCTGATTTGCACAAAGGCAGTCAATGAATCGGGTAAACATTTTCAGGAAAATAATTGTATATTTGTTTTACAGAATTAGTTTCTTTCCAACCGTAAAATATCTAATTAATATTTTTATCCTGTGTTGGTTGTTTTGAATATTTAGCATTTTTTTCCCTTTTTGCGTATTTACACATAAGTAAGAATGTGCATATAAAAGGAAACAAACTTTAAATGTAAATACTTTTGTTTAAATCAGAATTTGCTGTTTTGTTTAGAAGAGGAAGGCCCCACCCAGTGGCTCACCGGTAACTCTGAAGGTTTCGATACCTATGGTGGGCAGAGCACAGATAGCCCGTTGTGTTGCTTTGTGCGTAACTACAAACAAACAAACAAACAGTACGGGAAATCTCTCCATCTCTCTCACTATTCATTTTTAAAAAACACCGACATTATTATTGTCTTGCCGAATAGGAAATTCAACTAAATAATTTGTAAGAGCAAATAAAATATAAAAGGGTGAATTTAGGTTGTTAAATACTTTAGTGCGTATGAAATAACACTTCCAAAAATGTTAAACTGAGAAAAATACCTTAATTTACCATTTATAAAAAAAAGAGATCTTATGTGCATTTCAAGAACATTAAGTTTAATCGAGGATCACTGTATAATAATAGTAAAGTCTTAGCGAAAATATACTCCAAGAAGTTGGACTTATAGTTCATTCTCGGTTACTCGTTTTCTTAGAGTAGATATGCTAAGCCTAATAATTAAGAGTCATCCTGGCAAAAAGATTCATACTTGTCAGGCAGGCGTTAGTACTGCTTATATAGGGATGGCTCAGATTGTTCATCGAAATGGTATTTTAAATATCTCCTCAATAGGTCATCAGAACTTTACAACACTATACAGTGTTTCTTTTTATAACAATATCTGTGTAAAGACTGAGTCACATGTTCTGGGAATGTCTGTAAATATCATAGCAAAAAGTTTGACTTTATTGTTCTTCTTTTTATTACATGATAACTCAATAACCAAGGTAAGTATTATTAATAACTAGTAGTGATAACAAAATCCTAATTCTAGTGTAAGCGATGTTATCATTATCCCTTGAAGTTTGTTTTTTTACAGACATTTGTTGCCCCTTCAAAAAGCTTAAGTACAGGGTGAAACAGGAATTCTCAGTCAATTATAGTTAATAAATATTACAGTTGGAACCTAATTGTATTTAGAACTTGGTTATAAAGACATCCTTCCTATGTCTATTAAAACACTGTATTAAAAAACAATTAAACAAGTAAAGAAAAACTTTAAAAAATATTTAAATGTAGGGATGGCGGATACCAATCCTTCAAAAACAATGCAAAGAAGATAGTAGGACTGACATTTGCACCATCCCTACATAATAGCACAGGCAATAATTAACACATAGCAATATATATATATATTCAATCACAACTGAGTTTGATTTATTTTAGTTTTGTCTGTTAACATTCTACGATACTGGTTGTTTATTTTATTATGTAGGGATGATGGAAATGCCATCCCTGTTATCTTGTTTGCATTATGTTTGAAGTATTAATAGTAGCCATCTTTACATTTACTTCCTTTTTTTAAGTTTTTCTTTGCTTGTAAATATAGCACTTACGCCTATTCAACAGGATGTGTGTGCTACTTTTATGCGGAAATGTGTAAAACGTGCATGTTACGTTTGCAAGGCAGCTTGAAAAACAAAATATATGCCAGAGCAGTCGTGCGCGCAAAGAAATATTATTTCTATAATCATGAGGAATGTTTGGAGCCAGAAGTTAGCAGTTATTTCATTGGCACGAAAAGTGAACATGAAGTTTGTAAAGAAACAAACGCGAAGTCTTCCCCAAAAAGGAAGCTTTAGCTTTTATTTTCAAAATATTTTCACTTGTACGTTAACAAAATATCAACACATTGTTATGAGAGAAAACCAATATAAACATTTTATTCAACAACAGCAAAATAAATACAAAAAATGCACATTATTTTGATCGTTTGAATTCCAGACTTTTTATCTGAGAACTAAGCAACAGTTACCAAACTACACTATATCTGGATGATTGTGCGATTTTAAGCTGCTTTAGCGAATGTAACCTTCACCTTTTCTCCCACGACATACCGATTACTGTAGCTATGGAGAGAAGTTCGATTCTTGTATTCTTAGTGGAATTTGACGGCTTTTACAACTGGGTGAGCATAAGGAGCGTAGATGGGAGCCACGTGTTTGATAACAGGAGCATGCTTGTAGACAACAGGGGCGGGATTGGCAGAGACGGTAACGTCAGCAGGGTTCTGATTATCAGTTCCGGGCTCATTGGTGTCAACTTCGGCACGGAAACCAGCACCATCAGCAACGTATCTCACCTGACGCCAGATGCCATTAGCGTCAGCATAACCATAGCTTCCACTGACAGCACCGCTTCCATCTCCGCTCTCTTGTCGGCTCAGCTGAGTACCGAATTCATCAGCGGTCTGGAAGCCGAAATTGTAGGGCTCAGGAGCAGCCTAGGATAAAATGACAGTTACTAATAAGGATTATCAATAGATGTCGCTAGTAGAACTACAGGTTTCTACAAGATGCATGTATTATTAAATTCTTTGTATGATTAGTATATACAACTCTGTCGTTTGTCTTTCTTATAACGAGTTTAGTGGCTAACGATAGAGCATAGCAGTTGAAAGTTTGTGCTAATTTTCTTAACAATATTATACAAAACATTATTGACTTACGTCTATGGTTGTTAGGTTAAACTTTTAATTTATCACAAAAAATGTTTATTTATTTACTTGGGTAAATGCTACATAAACACATTATGTGTATATGTTTCTTCATTAATTTCTGTACAAAACACCAAATAAACTAAAAAATACAGTTACCGACAAAACGTTTTTGTGAAGTAGCATATAAAAGTGGAGAAAATAATAACGACATTATAAAAACGTTTGTTGTAAAATTAACCTCCTTGTTATCCATGGGGACAGTTCGTGCTGTAAAGTACTTGTTGATGTTACTAAAGCATATATTTCAATGATATCATACATTTTTGATACTGTCTGTGAAAAACAAATATATGCTATGGCTTTTTTGACTTTAATTAGTGATACATAATAATAAAGATATGAATACTTTTATATGAAGAATATATTTTATACTTACGTAATAAGGATCGGGATGGTATCCATAGGGAGCAGAAATGTAGCCACCAAATACTCCAGCTACGACAGTAAGGAAAACCACAGCCTAGCAGAAAGGGTTAGGGGATATATTTTATTGTTTATATATATCACATTTAAAAAAACGTAAGTCAAAAACTCAATTTATATACATATTTAATAAAACTGAAATCAAGTCAATGTTAATAGACGTCTTTACTTTCTGCTGATCAAGTGAAACGAACACGTGTTATAGTACTTCTAGAAGAAAGTAATTTCGAAGAACATCCAGTTCTTTCTGACATTTTCCGACCTTTAAGTCTCTTTCAAAACTAATTAATTGTCTGCAGTTGTGTGTCTTGAGCAAAAACTAATGGACAGATAAACATTCATAACCTCAACATTGAAATGTAATAATGATTCAAAGTAATTGAAACAGGAAAGAGAGTGCACTCAAGAACAATATCTTTTACAGAAGTGTCATCATCCTTTCTTTAACAAGAAACTTTGTCTAAACACAAAGCCATTCTGATTCCAAAGCCTGAAGGTAAATATGTATTTTACTACTTTTCGACTATTCTAGCCTAATTCAAACTTCCAAATAATTCTACTTCTGCAACGTTACCGAATAAGCATAAGATGCTAGAATGAAACGTTATTCAGTAACTAAGGAAAACATTATTATATGATGATTATTTAGGCCTAATACTATAGCAGTTGCAATTTACTGTTTTGGCATCCTCGTTGCAATAATTAAGGCTTTATATTAAATATATTATTTCCCGCTAAATATTAAGGTCAGAAAACAATAATATATTCACTTCCCTGAAGATCAAATCTCGTATCACCACAAGAAGTAGCTAAACTCACCTTCAGCATCGTGAAAGATGAATTTGAATGTAGACCCTGAGTTTAACTTTAAAATGTTGTACTTGCTTCGAAAGCTCACATGTCCCTCTCTTTCCCTTGCTCTTATATATATACTACAAAAAGAGGGCGCAGGCTAGATTTTTTTTCCCTCTTGAAATCCAATAACTTAGGTGAAAGTATGAGAAAGAACAATATGTTCAAACTAGAATATAACGTGACACGATTATAAGTTTAGCATAGCAGACACGTGACCTAAAATGTTCAATTTCACTTGATTTTTCTGTTGCTTCTTTTTCTGCACCGTCAAAAGGGACAGGTTACGCCCTTTGTAAAGTAAACCACATACCTGCGTTTGAGTTGTTTGACATTGGATAGAAAAAAGGTAAAATAATGATTACTAATTTTCATTATTTAATGTTTCATTTTAAATCTGCTGTTTATATAAAGATAATATTAAATTGTAAGATATATATAAAAAATACTTGGAAGTTAAATTATTGAAAATTAAACACCTTGTTACTTATGAGAAAATAGAGTACGGCCGGAATAAAATATATTTTGCACCACTCCCTGCCTTCTGGCGATAAAAACATAAGATAAAAATGCGACCTATATCATCTAATGAAAAATTTTTATCTGATTTTATTATCTTTTACTTTTGTTGTCCGTTTTTTTTTTTGCGAGTTTTACATTTTTTTTAAAATAAGGAATGATAGTGTAAACAATTCTTTGCAAGCACTTTCTTTAAAATAAATGTTAGAAAATCGTTTAAAATCACAACAAAGTCATCAAATCTATAATGCAATTATGAATGTTAATTTATGACCAGTGTGACAATAACTGACTTTATATAGCGGCAACAAAAAGAAACTTTTCTCTGTAATATGGAATAATGAGTTTAAAAATTGTAGAAAGCTAAAAAAAAACCGATAACTGAAAGTATATGATCTATTTTTAAATACATTGAAAAGAGGAAAATTGTCTTTTTGATCGTAATTATTACCTAATGTTGACTCCATACTATTGGTCTAAACATTGCAATTATTCAAATCAAAACTTGCCTACTGTAAAAGTTGCTTTATTGTATTTTTAAATTAATTATGCTGTTCAGTATGTACTCTTAAAACCTGTACTACAATATTCATGATATTGTTACATAGTATAACGGAATCAAAGTTTTAGTTGATTTTGGTTTTTAAGGTTTTTTTTTTTTGGTGGTCAGCCCGAAACGTCGTGTTAATAATAAATATATGTTTCTAAGTAGTTAAATTATTAGACCATATCATTCGTGTGATTGAAACTCTGAGGTATGAGTACAAATCAAATAATTAACCTGCACATAAGGGGGACGTATCTGTATAGCTATCTACTTAAATGGTTAAAATCTATGCACGTGAACTGGAAGACATTTTAATATGTACTTTGTTTTTCCAGAAAAATATCTATCTAGTTCAAAGATAAAAAATATGATGCAATTATGCATAACTTAAAGGGCTAGAAAAAAGCTATACACTATGCACATGTTTAATCTATAATTACTAATAATCACTCATATCTATCGCAGCTCCTATATATATGAATTACGGGGGAAATCTGATTTAAAGAAAGCCAGGTTTAGTTCGAATTGGGACTCGTAATATAAATCACTACAACTATATCAACAGAGATATTCTAATTATATTTTATCTTAAAACGACAGTTTTCAAGTTATGAATATCATAAATGTTGCTTAGTATCAAGTTGGTTGACCAAAGTGATTATAAAAAAAGAGATTTATCAATAACAACGAATTTTCATGCTAACAGAGTACTAGATCACATATGTTTTAAATTATGAATGTAAATGAAGTTATTTCTTAACAGAGTGCCCCCCCCCTTCAGTGGCACAGCAGTAAGTTTGTAGACTAATAGCACTAGAAACCGGGTTTCGATATCCGTGGGGAGAAGAGCACAGACAGCCTACTGTATAACTTTGTGCTTAACTATAAATACAGAAACAAAACTTAATGGGGCGACAAAGCATATATCTTGGAAACTATAAATAAACCAAAGTTGTCTGTTAACAGAAGGTAGAGCGTGTAGGTTATGAATTACGAATAACAATTTAGAAGAGTGTTAGAAGAACGTATGATATATGGGTTACTTACTGGATGACCCCATAAATGCGTTGGTGTAGTCAAGTCATGGTTAGTTTGCAAGACTTGACCAATCCAACTTCACAATGGATAGTAATTGTAATGGGTTTATAATTGTAAGATTTTTATTTTTATTTTACCGGCTGGTCAAAAAAATTGGTCATCATAGCCAATCAACATGACCATTGAAAGGAAATACATCTGTCATGCGATACATTTTAGCCCTTAATCTTTGGTGACCAATCAAGTTAAAAGACGACCGCCTAAATATAAATTCCTTCAACTTGGGAAAGTATAAGTTCCTTCAACGTGGTTAGTATTTGACTTTCTCTAATATTACACTGAAAAAGACATTACAGAAAATTTTTCTCTTCAAGAAAGAGGGGTAAAAGGTTTTTTTCTCTATCATACTCTGAGAAAAAAAAAGGTAGTGAATTAATTCCTTTATGGGAGTAACAGCTCTGCTACCACAAATACACCATTATGAAGTAACAAGGATTATACACCTTTGAGAGTGTTCAAATTGTGTTATTCCTCTATACACGTATGATTTTAAGTATTCACCAAAGGGTATAAATTTACACCTTGTAAAGCTTACGATTTTTCAAGTGGTAGCAGAGCCGTAATTCCTAAATTGATAATATAAAAATAAATATTAAAATTTTTATTGCATTGTTTGTGGAATTGAATTATAAAAACAGATAAAACACAGTTGTACTCAATATGAAATTGTACTATATTTCCATCACAAGTAAGGGGTGTTGCAAAATAAATTACACTTTCTCCCCGAGATCATAACAAAGTAAAATAAGATTTTAATTCAATCAAAAAGTAATACCAAGTATCAATATCGCTTGATTGGGCCACCATTGTTCTCACGCACGAGTTTTAATCGATTTGCAAAAGATTTCAGCAATGCAACAAACATGTCTGTTTATATGGTTGTCTCTTGAGCACATCAGTGAGAACATGAATCAAGGTTTCACGTTTGTGTTTCTCGCATTCAGGCAGTTTCCAACATTTCTTCTGTGCACTGTTGAACGAAAGCTCCGACCTGAATTCTCGGAGCATGTCTGCGACTAGTTTCTGAGCCATCCCGACACGAACCTGAGTTCTAGTGAACACCATGATTCAAAAGTTTTCGCTAGAAATGAAATTCGAAGAGTCAATCACCCAAGAGTACGTTGAAATGACGTTTTCTCTTAGTAAAGATATTCGAGGTCCTACCAAGTTCGTTATTACTTCGGGGGAAAAAGTGTGATTTATTTTGAACACCCCTTATATGAGAAAATCAAATTAGGATTACAATTTCTAACCTGAATTAAAACAAAATCACTACATACAATTA